TTGGGACACATTTTCAATTTGCCGTGATGCCATAAAACAATTCCCTATCTAAGGGATCCTAAGCAACGAAAGCTCTTTATTCCCAGTTTTTATTATGCAAATAAATTTATTTCATTATTGCGAAAGTTTGTTTCCCAGAACGAAGACCTGGTCTTTACAACTTCGGAAGAATGATGACTGCAGAATAATGATTCACCTCTGAACCCCTCGATATTGTTAAGAATGGAGAATGGAGTGCAAATTTGTCTCTTTTAATCACCACTTCAGTGTTGGAAAAGAGTTGATGATTCTACAGAAATTTGTAATCTGATTAGGTCTACAACAATTTTATAGTTGAATTATCGAAAGCATTTGTTGTAAGCATGTTTATCATTGACATTGTTGTATACCTGAAAAGTAGGTAATGGTGAATCTCCCGTATTAGACTGGAACAAGATTATACATGACGGAATTGCGATACATTTGCGAGAATCTCTTACGAAACACGAGACAAGACGAGACTCGGGGCTGCGAGACGAGACTCGAGACAAGACTTTATATTCCAAAGGCGAGACGAGACGAGACTTTATGAAAGTCTCGTCTCGTTGGTCTCGTGTGAATCATCTAAGTTATAGGCTATAGATGTAATGAAAATTCAAGTTCTTGGACTCCACTCAATCCTGAAAAATTGCTTGAAGTGTATTTTCTTGGAAAGAGTGTTTGCTCCCAATTTTAACAATGAAATTTTACATATCTGTGACAAAGGAAGAAAACTTAACCTCTTCGAAACCTTGGAAATCAATAAAGCTGTCAAAAACTCTAACCTCAACTGCCAATGGGTTGCCTGCAAGATTGCAAGAACAAGAACTTCTCATCGGAATTCCTTCTGCAATTGAAGCTAATAGAAATACTCGTGACATTTGTAAAAGGATGCAAGAAGATTGGATTCATGCAATCAAACCGGAGGACTGGTCTGAGATGCTGATGAAATATGATCGTGTGTGTTGTAGACATTTCCGATCTATAAGCAGTATTAGCTTCTAATGGATAAATGGAAGAAGGAATTTTGATAAGAAGTGACAAAATTCTATAATGAAAACTATGTGAGATTACTATTTATCTGAAAAATCATATTCCTTCGTCTCTCGCTGCATTTTTTGTATATTGTACAACAGCACAATGAGAAGACATGCTTGAATTGATGAATAGCGCAAAAAACACGATTGGCATGCCGACATTTTGTGAAAAACTTTGATTCCGCTGTAAACAAATAAAAAAAGTGAGGTTGTGTTTTAATAGTTTATGGGAAAGTGAGTTTGTGATTCAATATTTCACCTTCAGGGTCGGTGATCATGCACCCGACCTATGAATAAACTCAATTCGATAGACTTAAATTATTCAACTCCTTATTATTTTGAATATAATTCTGTTCTGTGTTCTATGTCACTTCGAATAAAAACATCCTTTGGTTTTTGAAGTGTCTTGTGTCATTCTGATGTTGTATTTCGACCTCAGCGTTATTGTTGTCAAGTGTCATTTGTGATTAGTTAACCTAATTCAACAAATTCAGATTCACATGTTGGTGCTTTCGAATATTTTCTTTACATCACACAATTTCTGAAATTCCGGCTCTTATAGAGTTGATAACGTTTGTTCTCTAAAAGCTACCCACGAAATACCATCACAATGTTGTGACGTAGTGAAAGTCCCCTATTTCATCATAATATTTTGTGTAGACCTCCACTTCTAGGCATCACAGAACCGAGCACAGAACTAAATAAGAACATGTTTATACTCGAACTATTTTGTCAAAAATGAGAAAGTTGATGACAAATCTTGAACAGAATTTGATGATAACATTCAACTAATGATGTAATAACAATTCTGTGAAGATGTATCAGATTCAGTCAATAGAAAATATCGCAATTATTAATTTTATTTTCCACTGATTTTTATTGCCATTCAGACTTTCAAGAAATTCTCGTCGATAGAAACTAAAAATGTTCTTAATAAAAATATAGCAGGAGGAATATTATCCAATTATAGATACCTTGGCATTTCAGATGGCTTTGTTATACAGAATACAAGATAGAAAGATATAGTGGTAGAAGCATAAAAAAATGTTAGAAGTTCATCATCAAGTTTCAACCTACATTGTTGTTATATATAATTTCAACGATGAATGATGTAGGATTCTTTCTAATCAGAAGGCAGATTGAGAATTCAATCAATAGGTTCATTAGAAAATCACTATACTATCGAGCCACGCTGCTTCAACACTGTATCAATTATTCAGTTTTATCATCACAGAGGGAATAATTAATATGTCCTCTTTGCGTCTATGAAGTCGTTCAGTAATCGATTTTGTCTTTGGTAAAGCCCTAAAGACATCAAAGATCTGAGTTCATCAGTGGAAGGGGGTATTCAGAGAGAATTGAGGATGAAAAAGTGGATATTTTATATTTTATTCTCGATGTTGATGAAAGGGGTTTTCAATTTCTTCAAGGTTTGCTTCGAAACAATGATCATTGATCAGGAGTGACAAACCAAACCCGAGCGTTCGCTTTCGGCGAGGTAAAAAGCACCGTAAGCATTGATGACTTTTGATTGTTGAAGAATGTGGTATAATGCGAGCGTACATTTTTCGATGTACCTATATTGTGCCATGATGGTAATATTATGATGTGATGAGATATGATTTTGCAATATTTGTAATAATTCATCAACTTTCTATTTCTAGAGTGGCATTTTCTACTTTGATACTGATATTTTCATTCAAGGATATGAGGGATTAGTTTTCGAATTCATCTCGGAATTCATCTTTGAAAACATTGCATCATCCATTCGATGTTTCATGCTAGGTACCTCACAGATGTTTCTGCTTTTTCTTATGTTCTGGTTTCCACGTAATGGGATATCCTGTAATGTTCAGAGAACACGATGATGATGAAACCGATGGTGATGATGATGATGAAGAATCAACCAACTGTTTGATGGAACATCGTCAATTTATCAATTGAATCACCAACTTCAGTGTCAGATCCAGCATTATCTTTTTCCCCAACGCCAGCAAACTCTTCATTTAATTTATTGTTACATCTTGGTGGATCTCTTGCTTGTTGATATTCCTACCTCTTTTCTATTGTGTATTGAAATCATTGGAATTATTGATTTGATGTTTTCCTTTTGCCGTTCAGACAATTTCAAGAAATCGACGCGTCCATGCCAAAACGGCACAAATGCCATCGAGTCAACTTCACAGGAGAGACTAAAAACTGATTAACTTCATTCGTAATTGCCACACAAGTCTGCTGGATGTCTTCAATGAAAGATTGATTTTTTTCATTATTTTTGATGAATGTCTGATGAAGATTCTGATTCTCGCCTTCATGCAATAAATGAAAAATTGAAAATATGGCGCTTGTGCCAGTCCACACTAGGTACAATGTGTTTATGCCAAAAGTGATACTGGCGTTTGTGTCATCGAACATTCAAGGTTTTGCTCGAATTGCCGCTTATACAGTTGATATGCCAAGTTAAAATTGATGTGTGTGATTTCTCGTGTGTGTCGTTTATGCCACCATGATTATTTTTTTTATTGCTTGAAGCGCACGAAAGGGAATCCCTATAATGTTCAAAGAACATCGTGCGTTCCTAGGGAGGATAGGGATAGGAGGTAGGTATTGGAATTTTTTATGATGATCTACAAAATATTCCATCATAAGGAAAGATTTTCATCTTGAAAATTATTATCATCATTGGAAAAATCATGTTTTGAAACTGTGAAACGATTGAAAAATTTCTTATTCAAAACTTCGGAACTATTGGGTATCTGATAAAAGAGTGAAGAGATCATACAAACACAATAAAATTTACTAATAAAATGAAAACTCAAATCTTATTCTGAAAAACTCAAGAGGGATAACTGGCTACATTGATGAAGATAAAAATTTGAACTCAATAATCATCAGTTTCTTGTAGAAAAATACAGGAGAAGAAATCAAGAAGCCTAGTTCCACCACTTGATTTTCAGTTTCTTTCAATGCCATCAACAGGCTTCCAGAGATGTTCATCTGCAAACTAAGGAAACGGCATAAGCGCCAAATATCAATCGCAGTTTTGAAGCTGTTCTATTTGAAATTGATTATCAACTTCCTACTGACATATCAAGCGACGATAGGTTTACAGTAAAATATAAAAAAACTATGAATAATTGTATTTAAACATGTTTTTTCGATGTAAGGATAATGCATGTGATTCGCTATAAGCGATGGCATTTATGCCAAACAAGTTCTCATGATACTGTTTTGGCATTAACGCCTCATACTTTTTCCTCAAAAACTACGATTTTGGGTGATAAATACGTCATTTGAACTAGAAATACATGCAGATAGTTCAACGGAGTAATGTAATCAACTTCCATATGAATCAAATATTACTTACTGTGATCTCACAAGCGAAACACCTCACCCCATTGAATGCTTATGGGAACCTGGCTTTTGTGCCGTTTGATTTTCATTGAATATGGTTGAATTGGCGCTTGCGCAAATTTAAAATACAAGAAAAGACAGAAAAAAGAATTTACGAATATATGCCGTTTTGACCATTGGATGCAGCATGTGAATACCTTTTATTGAGTACCAAAAAGTGAGAAGTGACCATTTTGGCGTTTGTGCCGTTTTGGCATGGACGCGTCGAAATAAGTGTCGATAGAGACCATTAATAAAAATACAGCAGAAAAAATATTATTCAATAACAGATATCTTGGCATTTCAGATGGCTTTGTTACTAGCATCTTCAGTGTCAGATCCAGCAGCATATTTTTCCCCAACTCCAGTGGATTCAATACTTCTTCAGGTTCCTTTCTATGAACACACATGTGCTGCTTACAAAAAGAAGAAAAGTTCTTCTCCTCCTACGAGGTCTGTGGTGCACAGGGCTACATTTGTTCACTCTGAGATGTCGCACTTTAATGCACATTGACTATTAATAAATAAAACTTCTCCTGTCAATGTTGCATACGAGGTGGAGTTACAGATGTCACTTTGGCATACCATTGCAGCATCATTGCAAGAAGATATCTAGTATAAAGTATGACTTGCATAGACAAATATTCATTTAACGACAACGATGTAGAAAACGTAAGAGTTTTCATTAGAGTTCGACCACTCAGAGATGAAGAAAAAACTGTGAAGAACAAAAACCTTTTAGAAGTGAATCACACCGTGATATCCCTGAAGAAAAGTGACACCACCAAAACGTTCAAGTTTGCACGCATATTTGACGAAAACAGTACCCAAATGGATATATATCGATGCATAGCAGTACCGATAGTTCAGCAAGTGCTCCAAGGCTACAACGGTACCATCTTTGCGTACGGCCAATCAGGCACTGGAAAAACATACACCATGATTGGAGACATATTCAACACTGACCTGAGAGGTATCGTTCCTAACATTTTCACTCATATATTCGCACAAATCAGCCTGGCTAACAACGATCTATCATACGCCGTAACAGCTACCTATCTCGAAATTTACAATGAAGAGATCAGAGACCTCCTATCAGAAACGCCTCAGAAGAAACTAGCGTTGAGAGAGAAGCCTGAACTCGGGGTGTTCGTTAACGATCTGATAGGCTTCACCGTAAACTCTCTTGGCGAGATGATGGAGATCCTCGCTAGAGGCAACAAGAACCGTGCTACAGGGTCTACAAAGCTCAACGAGAGCAGTTCCAGATCACATGCTATATTCGCGATTCTGGTCGAAACCAAGAACAATGTGACTGGCAAAACCACTTTCGGGAAGCTCAACCTAGTTGACCTAGCAGGATCCGAACGAGTCCACAAGACAATGGCTACAGGTGACAGGTTGAAAGAAGCAGGTAAAATAAATCTATCGCTATCTGTACTAGCGAATGTTATCTCAGCCCTCGTAGATGGAAAGTCGACGCATATTCCCTACAGGAACTCCAAGTTAACTAGGTTGTTACAGGACTCGCTAGGAGGGAATTCACTCACAGCAATGATAGCTATGATAAGTCCCAACTTCCTGGATTCCCAAGAGAGTTTATACACTCTCATGTACGCGGATAGAGTGAAACATATCCAGAATCGCGTAACAGTCAATCTGGATAAAGGTAGTCTCATCCAGACTCTAGAATCAAAAATCATTGAGTTGAGGAATCAATTACAAACGCTCACATTGGAAGAAGAGAAGGAACTAAAAAAACTCCGCAAGAAGAGTAAAACTTCCTTGAACAAAGAAGAGTTAGATAAGATTGAAATGGAGAAAAATGTGTTGCAGAATAAAATAGACATGGTACAGAAGAAGATTTTGGTAGGTGGACAAAACCTCGCAGAAAAAGCTCAACAACAAATAGAGCTGATAGAAAACACAGCCATCGAGCTCAAACACCTGGATAGCTCACACCAACTCCTAGAAGAAATATTGTACTACAAGGAGAAAGAGAAGAAATTGGTAGGACAAAGCTATGCGACCTTACAAGAGGAGGATAAAGAACTAGATAGGGGTATCGAAGAAACTGAGAAATTATTGGCCAAAGCTACTCAGATTTTGGTTACCAAGGAAATGGAGTATCAGAATGAGGTTAGCTCACTGTTGCACACGAATAAGTCTCTAGCCAAAGAAATGGGTCTGGTTCAGTTTATCATGAATCAAAGCACGCCGAAAGAGTATTTGGATGAAATCAAATCGAAGATAACGTGGGACGAGAATATGCAAGAATGGCAGATGAAAGGAATAGCCTACTGCGGGAATAATTTGAGGCGGAGTAGATCTAGATCTGTTACGCAAAGCACAAGTTCTAAATCAGTTTACTTTCGGTATCCGTCGAAGACTAGGAAATAATGATTATTTTACTCTGAGAGCATGTCGTTTTTTTTAGAGTCCTCAGAAGATGTCTCGTTTTTTAATGCTTTCTCATCCCAATACTGAATATTGAATAGGCCGATTCGTGAAAATGGCTCTAGAATGAAAAAAAAAAAAGGCAATTTTTGAACTACATTCTGTATGCATATTTCAACTGAGAGGATTTTCTAATCCGTCAATTAGAAGAGAATGTTCATTCAATCGCCAAAAACATTCTTATTAACTAATGGAGTAACAGCTGTTAAAGTATCACGAATTGCAAAACTATGTATGTTTTTTGGATTCCCCTGTATTCCAACGATATTTTTATTCCCACACATGACCTACTGATTTTCCACAAGGGTTGTGTCTTTATTTTCGAGAATAGGAGTGACTTTACCAGTTTTTAACTTGTATGGAAAATCACCTCTCACAAATGACGTATTTTTATCAAAGGAAGAACTCTTTTCAATATAAACATCTTTAGTTTGTTTTTTAACAATGAGAGTAATTCATGTTCCGTGAAAGGTTCAAAAACAATGTTTGAGGGTTGAAATCCTCTTCATTATCAAATACCTCATCATTACTTGGAGGTATCTGTTCAACCAATTCCATAAAAAAATCATCGAACTTGGAGGCAATAGTTGCCGGATCTTCTTTAAGCCAATATAATAACACGGTCTCCGAGAATGAAGTGAAAGAACTGCAAGTCAATTTGTCTTCTATTTCACTTCGCGGTTACATAAATAACTAATGAACAACCTCTAAGTTCGCATTTTTCGAAATCAAATCACCGAATTATACTGACAGACTGACTGATTACTAGAGACGCTCGATAAAAATTGACGTTAAAGTCATCTTAACAGGGTACGGACAGATCCTCGTCTCCTCTCACTCTAAAGTGTTTGTGAAACAGTTATATAGTTCCATCCTTATTCAATTCTGGGGATAAACACAAGATTTGTTACATTTGTTGTTTTTCAGATTATATTGAGGTCATTGGCGTATCATACGTAATTTCCATATGGAATTCCTGATTCAACTATACCAAGATATAGTTGAACAAACCTCTAGTTTTAGGGTTTACTACTCTAGCATAATCTTTGCGAGATAGGGAACATATAATTTGTACTAAAAGCTCAATATATTTCACCGAAAGCTTAGACCGTAAACCAGGGTTGACTGAATGAATTCAGATTTTAAGCTGAGCAGTAGTTCAACTATGAGCTGAATGAGGTGAGCCTTATGATTGAGAATTGATGAAAACCTCGATTTGGGTATCGGAACTACTGTACTCATGTCATGTGTGCTAAATATATTTTCGGAAATCCAACTCGGAGAAAAATTTATGAAGTGACTAATTCTAGGACGGAAAGTAGGCTTATAAAAAGTGAAATTGCAAGAAAATGAAGAATAGAATATACTTTACCCCCATGATATGCATATGATTTTTCCGTCTCCCATAAATAAATAGTCATTTCCAAATAATTTATTGATTAAAGTAACAAAGAAGTAGGTATACAGTATAACTTATGGGACAGTACCTACCAACCTCGTTCTTCAGCGATAACATTTTTGAAATTCATAACGTCAATTATGTTGGAAGTCAAGTCAAGCTCGTTAAGTTTCTTGATCATGAAATATTTTTACGAATACAACTGGTGATGCTATTTTTCCTGTGAAATTTCGTCGATTGACATACTCCAGCTTGCTGATTTAATTTTGCTCATGACATTGATTCAAAACTTCTTGCCTACCTCTTGAAAATTTTGATAGACAATGTCATTCACGAAATTATTAGAATAAATGACAAACGTGAAACTTTACCAATCGTTTAATGACACATCAAGTAGAAAAAAAATCACCTCCTGCCTCCTGTCTCGTAGAACGATGTACTCCTGCCTAATGATGTGAACAAAAAAGTGTCCCAGAACAACGTATCATTGAATCTACATGGTGAACTACAGACCTGTGAATATGCCGATAGAAATCGACTCACCTCGATACGAAAATGCACCGTTGAGAGGGCACTGAAGAATAATTTTCTTTCCAGATTTTCTTGAATATTTCAAAATCCTCGAATAGTATTGTGAATGTGAATGAAAAACATGTTATACCAATTTGATCAAAATACAGGGACATTCTTTTTGATGAACATATAAATCCTAACTTTCTATCTAATTTTTTTATAATTACAGTTTTTGTATGATACATCTTGATTTTCGAGAAATCTATAACATAATTAATCATGGTCCTTCTTCATACTTTTTCATGATGTGTCAGGATTATAATGTTTTGCGAGTTTTTATCTCATTTGTATAGACTTATTGATCACAATAATCATGTTTCTTCTTCTTCTCCTTGGGTTCATTGGAGTTCTGTCTCCTTTCGGTAACAATTTGTCTTTCACTTGTGATACCACTAGAGGTCAAATTATTTCCGGAAATTTTTTCGAGCTCATGGATATTTTGAAAATTATTTCGAGTCGAAGACGAGGGATAATTCTCGAAATATTCATGAGTGAGAAATAATTCCTGAGAAGAAATAATAATTTATTATTTATGGAAACCATTTCGACCAATTATGAATAGTTTCGACAAAAAAAACTCCTAAAATTGAATAATCTCGATTTTTACATCCCATAAATCTGTAATAATTATTACTGCTGGACACCAAGTGTTACAGGTAAATGAAATCAGCTCTCCAGGAAGAATCTGGAAATGGAATAATATACAGGTTGTCCCATTTGAAAACTCAAAGTTGTTGCTCCTTTTCAATATAAGCGGCAACGTCGCAATGCTGACAATATTTCAGGTCGATAGAACACAACTGATTATTTGAGGCACAACTTTTCAGAATAATCTAATGTGCCATCCATCGTGAATCAGCCTGTATATAAGTTTAGTCAAGCCGAGGTTAGTTTATTTCATTGTACCAGTATTACACCTGACGAAGCTACTGTGTTAGCGAATTATGTCGTGTGACTAAGAATTTCGTGAACATCTCATCGTCTGTGAAGTTTTTACATAAGAAAATATATGTACACTCAGTTCCAAAAAAAGTGACGCACTTGATATTTGACCTATCTTCTTAAAAAAAAAATAGTAGGCCGATTTTTATTTTTTTTATTTGTTGGTAGGTAATGCATTTGTCTTTGAAAAAAAATACAGAGGTGAAAATTTTTTCAAAGCCTCCTCGATGGTGGTGGAATAACTCGAACCATGATTTATTCTTAATTTTTGACTCACCCTGTGTGTTAATTGAGTAATGGTATACAAAGTGCTTGCAACTTATACGAAAGAGGCTTTGCGAGCATATTGTTTTTTTATTCATTGATTCATCTCTAAAATTTTCCGAATTACAGCGTTTTTGCTTATACCTTACGCTTATCCCACAAATTAAATTTATTGAAGGATCAGAGTACTCAAAATTGATGGGGTTGTAGTCTAGTAGGATCACATTGTCTTTAAAAAAACAGATGCCGTTGCCAAAGCAACTAATTTGTTGTATGCCTCCATATTTGACCATTTGTCGTTGTGTCATTAATTAAGTGTCTTGTTTTATTGACTTAAATTACATAAAATGCCTCAAATAAATCCTGAACAAGTAGCAAGATTAGTTGCGTTAGTAAACGATGGGCGTAGTAAACGTTACGCCGCTCGTGCAGTGGGACTTCATGAAGCAACTGCTCGTAGAGCAATCCGCAAGTACAAACAAACAGGAAGCACCGCTCGGAGGGTCGGTTCTGGTCGCCCTCGAAAATTTTCTCCAAGAGATGATCGTTTCTTGAGATTGCGGATTTTACGGAATCGATCAAATACTGCGGTGAATGTTCAGCAAGATCTTCGCCGAATTCGTGATGTTGCAGAAAGTAAGCAGACGGTATGTAGACGTCTAAAAGAAGTTAATTTGAAACCTAGGAGACCTGCAAAGGGTCCCAAATTATTGCCCGAACATCGTGCTGCTAGAAGAAATTTTGTTGAAAATTATGGACAGTGGAATATTCCTGAATGGTCGAATGTCTTGTTTACGGATAAGTCAAGGTTTTGCCTTAACATGGTGGATGGAAGAAAAAGAGTGTGGAGAAGAACTGGTGAACGGTTTAATCAAAATTTAATAACAGAATGCGAAAGTTTTAATGGTGGGTCCATCATGGTGTGGGGAGGGATTTCAATGAATGGAAAGACACCCCTTCATGTTTTTCCGGTGAGGCAGTCGATTTACATTGACATTTTAGAGCAGTATGTCTTACCTTATGCAGAGTTAGTGGGCAATAATTTTATATTGATGCAGGATAATGCCCGACCACACACCGCAGTAATAGTGCGAGACGTCTTGGAAGCTACTGGTATTACCACATTACAATGGCCTGCGAGAAGCCCCGATATGAATCCTATAGAACAATTGTGGGATGAATTATAGGGAGAAGGGTACGTTCCCGCGAGAGGTCTCTGGAAAGTCTCGCAGAAATGGCAGATGCATTAGTGGAAGAATGGGATCGTATACCAATGGAAACGATAAGCAACTCAATTTCCAGTATGCCTCGTAGATTAGAAGTTATTAGAGTTGCTAGAGGAGGCAATACACGGTATTAAGCAGTCATCCCAATTTATAATTTTGTGTATTATAAAAATGTTTTTTAAAGTTATTGGTATCAGTTTATTTCATTAGAAAATTGTTTCTCGATAAATTCAGAAAGTTGGTTTTCTGCAAGGATTCAGCAAAAAATGCTGTAATTCGGAAAATTTTAGAGATAAATTAATGAATAAAATAACAGAATGCTCGCAAAATAAGCCTCTTTTGTATAGGGTGTAAGCACTTTCTATGCCATTTCTCAATTAACACACAGGGTGAGTCAAAAATTAAGAATAAATCATGGTTCGAGTTATTCCACCACCATCAAGGAGGCTTTGAGAAAATGTTCACCTCTTTATTTTTTTCAAAGACAAATGCATTACCTACCGGCAAATAAAAAGAAATCGGCCTACTATTTTTTTTTTAAGATGATAGGTCGAATATCAAGTGCGACACTTTTTTTAGAACTGAGTGTATGTATTGAAATTTCACAAACTTCACAGTGAGATAGAAACTTCAATATTGTAAACTTGCTCATTATCGTGAGATATAACTCACATCAGTCGATATCCTCGTGACTATGGAATTCAACCACCTCGCCTGGTTCATTCCCAAACAGCGATGTTATTGCATCTCGTCCCATTTCCATACCTAATCCCCGCTTGAGATCCAGAAATGTATCCAGGCAGTGCAAGATCCATGCCATTTCCCTGCAAATCCTCGATCCAATAACGTCAGAAATAAATGAAGACAGGATCTGGGATTCCTGACGTTCGAATGTGTGACTGGCATCACCTCAGATATGGATAACTTAGAGAACTTCGCCAGTCGTGGCTTTTTTTTGTTATTCGATGTATCCAGGATAAATAAAGGGGATTGATTCCG